TATAAATAATAATTATTAATTATTAAATATAAATAATCAACTATTAACTATACCAAAACATTCCATTCAAATGTTACCTAAGACTTAAGAATCAATTGCGTACTTTGTTGCATTCATTTGTTGTGATTTATTAGTGATCACTGTAACCCAATAGAATTATCGGTAGATTGCACTTCTGATCAATAATTGAATCTTCCAAAAAAAATAAATTATTAACTTAACTAATTTCTAACCTTTAATTATTGTCCCTGTTTAAAAAAAAAAAAAAAATTGCGCACTTTGTTATACACGGAAAGGGTCAAGGAGTCAAAAGGACGTGGCAATCTTCTGTTGGCATGGGGATGGGACCTTCAGCCGCAATAGCATTATTCCGGTCGAAGAATATATCCTTTCCTGACTCTCCTCTTCTTCTTTTTCTTCCAAATCCTCCAATCTGAACTCACTACTGTAAACAATTTTTGGAATTTAAATACAGAGATTATTGAATTTTTAGTCATCAAGAAAAAATTGCTTTTTGGTTTGCAATATTTAAAAAAAGAAGTGAATGTGCATGAAATAGAGTATACTAAAGACTAAATAAAAAGAGTCATCGGTCATCGCTCCTGCAACGCTGTTCCTTTCTCTTCTCTGTTTCTCCCATTCCTCTCAGTAGTCAGAGCAATATGTACAAAATAGGAAATGTTGTGGGAAAAGTTCTTAAGCTCGTATATGGGCGTTGCTTCTTCGATCCCACCACCGAGGATGTCGTCTCCGTCCCCGCCGTGGAAGTTCCAGCTCTTGTCATTGATCTCTCTCGCTTTGAAACCACCTCTCAGGTATTTTCTGCTAAGATCCAACTTCCAATCCTGGGTTTTTTCGCATGATTCCTACTAATTTGCTTGCAGTGAGCTAAACGAGGAAATCTAGCTAAGTGAATTATTAATTAAACTACCATCAATTGTTTAGGTTCCTGAAGGGCTCAGTAAGAAAGTTGTGGCATCCAAGAGGGTTCAGGCTGAATGGTATCTATATTTATTAAAATATTTCCTGATTTCCATTTGTGATGAGTAAAAAAAAAAAGTTTGATATGCACAAATTTTTGGGTTTTGTCACTTTGTGCGGGGTATAAATAATTTTGACAACAAATAAAGGTACAGAAAGCTGTTAGAGGCATGGAAAGATGCAACACCCCCACCAAAAACAAGAGAAGAAGCTGCTAGGCTTGTCATCCAGACCTTGGAGGGGAATCAACTGGCAGATGTTGAGGTAAAAATAAAAAAAGGAAAAGAAAAACTGAGCTTCTTGCGTGTAGGATGAAAAGAAGGGATTATATTGATGCGTTTCAGATTGTTCTGTATTTTGCTGTGTGTAGGGAATATTGGCATTCTATGGTCTTCCCCTTCCTGCAGCTGAAATTCCAACATCATTACCTGAAGGAGTTCAGTTTGAGCTGCATACATTAGCTGTTAGAATTATCTTCATCCTTAATCCGATTGTAGTATTATGTAGGCATCTAAATAATGAGTTTCATGCTGAAAAATACTTTGATGAAAATGATCAGGTGGATGCAAAAGATGTTGGGGATGGGGATGGGATGACAGTTTACGTGAGTATGGATCAAAAAACCATCCCTATACAGGTAAGACTGGCAGTTGATCAGAGATCAAAGATGCGTGCCCAGGGGAAATATAAAAAGGCAGAATTACTTCACCGGCAGATTAGTAATGCAGGATACAGGTTGCCTTATTATCCTATTCTTCTGGCAATTCTGAATAAATGAACTTTGTTTTTGTTTCTCATTGATAGTGTTGTTCTTGTTAAACAGAATCATTAATCATCAAGATGAAGAGATCCTTGCTCAAAAGCATCGCATTCGTCTAAGGTAATACATCTGTTTAATGGAATTTGAATCCTTAATATTGTGGGGCAATGGTTGATGGTTTAGTCGAACTGAATAGGGGTATAGATGCACCGGAGTTGTCGATGCCATATGGTAATGAGGCAAAAGACGAGCTGGTTAAGCTTGTTCAGGACAAGTGTCTGAGATTGCTGGTCTATGGGCTAGATCAATATGCCCGCATTGTTGCTGATGTATACTGCGATGACATATTTGTGCAGGTACGTACTTTTGTATATTGATCATTGTTACCTTGATATGTAGTCATAGCTAAGTATAGTTTTATGTGATCTCCACATCTAACAGGAAAAAATGCTTAAGAGAGGATTTGCTTGGCATTACAAATTATATGATCAACGCCTGGAATTCGATACTGTGAGTATTGGACAATCATTAATCATTCATAAAATTTGTTTATATTGATTCTTAATCTTTAATTGACTCTTTGTACTTGTATATATGGTGCTAGTGGGAAAAGGAGGCTCGAGGAAAACAAGTTGGCTTGTGGGCTTCTCCAGACCCTGAGGAGCCATGGGAATGGAAGAAAAGGAATAGACGAGAAGGCAGTTAATATTATCCTGATGGAAGATAAATAATAGCAGAACAAATGGAGAGCAAGGAAAAGTGGCCTCATTTGTAAAAATTGAAAATTAGTGTTGTAAAGTATGCACTAACAAAGTACTTAAAGTAATGTATGGATTTATCTCTTATGAGATATCAAAGTGGATATGATCTTGAGTTTCGGTTTTAAATATATCAAATTTAAATTTTGAGGGAGGTAAAAAAAGTAATTCTTACTGCATCAAAAGTAATGTATGAATTTGATAATATTTATAATTAGATTTAAATCTTAATTTTATTTTCAATTCTTTAATCTCCAAGATATCAATAAGACTAGATAACAAAAAAGTAAGAGTAGAGTAACACAACGAATCTCTTTAATTTGCAGCATAGTAAGCCTGAAACTGTATTCCTTGTTGAAGAAATGAGATGTTTATTGTAAGCCTGAGGAGGTGAATGCGCAGAAGGTGAAATGGCGGCAAAGACTCCTGGGCTTTCTGTTTTGGGCCGGAAAAAAGATCATGGACTGGATCTTTTTCCGTTTGGACTGAAAAGAGCAAACATTCTTTTTCCCTCCTATGGTGTGACTTTTTTTTTAGTTTTGCTTAGATTCTCTTTCTAAAAAGAAGAAAGCATCAACTAAAGTAAAAATAGTACATAAAGCATTTGAATTC